TTGTATAGACTGTTTTTGTGCTATATCGTTTCTGCTACACGCTTGATCTTTGTATCGACTGTTTTTGTGCTATATCGTTCCTGCTACATACTTGATCGTTGTATAGACTGTTTTTGTGCTATATCGTTTCTGCTACACGCTTGATCTTTGTATCGACTGTTTTTGTGCTATATCGTTTCTGCTACATGTTTGATCTTTATATCGACAATTAGTTACTTAGCTAGTTAGTTCACAGATTGCCCTCAGGAAGGAACGAACGAACTTTATTTTCAAAGGGTCACAAATTGGGCACGCAGGCCCGTCTTACATTCGGCCCTTCCAGTCAACCATCTTTCGCACAGCTGTTGTATTTTACTAATAAAGCATGATATGATCATATGATAATATGCATTTTATGAATATTATAAAAGAACACAAAAGCATGAGTTGTACAGCGCATGTTAAAAACCCGCGCGTGCATACATACACCCACATACACACGCTCACCCACTCACTCACTTACACACACATACATGCATGCATACATTACATACATACAGGCATACATACATACACACATACATGCAAACACGCATAGAGGCATACACACATGCCTACATACATACACACAAACATACATACATAGATACAAACATACAGGCTCACTGCACATCGAGCCATTGGGTCTATACTTCCTCAGATTCACTACTCAGTAAGTCCCGTAGTGTGCTGCGACAGAAGACACCAGTTCTGTTTTGGTTTCCTATTATTCTTTTGCTTCCAGCATAGTGCTCTTGTCTAGCCACAATCCTTCCAGCATAGTGCTCTTGTCTAGCCACAATCCTTCCAGCATAGTGCTCTTGTCTAGCCACAATCCTTCCAGCATAGAGCTCCTGTCTGGACACAATCCTTCCAGCATAGTGCTCTTGTCTGGCCACAATCCCTCCAGCATAGTGCTCTTGTCTGGTCACAATCCTTCCAGCATAGTGCTCTTGTCTGGCAACAATCCTTCGAGCATAGTGCTCTTGTCTGGCCACAATCCTGCCAGCATAGTGCTCTTGTCTGGCCACAATCCTTCCAGCATAGTGCTCTTGTCTGGCCACAATCCTTCCAGCATAGTGCTCTTGTCTGGCCACAATCATTCCAGCATAGTGCTCTTGTCTGGTCACAATCCTTCCTGAATAGTGCTCTTGTCTGGTCACAATCATTCCTGCATAGTGCTCTTGTCTGGTCACAATCCTTCCTGCATAGTGCTCTTGTCTGGTCACAATCCTTCCTGCATAGTGCTCTTGTCTGGTCACAATCCTTCCAGCATAGTGCTCTTGTCTGGCTACAATCCTTCCTGCAAAGTGCTCTTGTCTGGTCACAATCCTTCCAGCATAGTGCTCTTGTCTGGTCACAATCCTTGTTGCATAGTGCTCTTGTCTGGTCACAATCCTTCCTGCATAGTGCTCTTGTCTGGTCACAATCCTTCCAGCATAGTGCTCTTGTCTGGTCACAAACCTTCCAGCATAGTGCTCTTGTCTGGCTACCACCCTTCTAGAATAGCGCTCTTGTCTGGCTACCACACTTCCAACATAGTGCTCTTGTCTGGCTACCACCCTCCCAGCATAGTGCTCTTGTCTGGTCACAAACCTTCCAGCATAGTGCTCTTGTCTGGCTACCATCCTTCCAACATAGCGCTCTTGTCTGGCAACAATCCTTCCATCATAGTGCTCTTGTCTGGCTACCACCCTTCCAGCATAGTGCTCTTGTCTGGCTACCACCCTTCTAGCATAGCACTCTTGTCTGGCTACCACCCTTCCAACATAGCGCTCTTGTCTGGCTACCATCCTTCCATCATAGTGCTCTTGTCTGGCCACAATCCTTCCAACATAGTGCTCTTGTCTGGTCACAATCCTGCCAGCATAGTGCTCTTGTCTGGCTACAACCCTTCCAACATAGCGCTCTTGTCTGGCTACCATCCTTCCATTATAGTGCTCATGTCTGGCTACCACCCTTCCAGCATAGTGCTCTTGTCTGGCTACAACCCTTCTAGCATAGCACTCTTGTCTGGCTACCACCCTTCCAACAAAGCGCTCTTGTCTGGCTACCATCCTTCCATCATAGTGCTCTTGTCTGGCTACAACCCTTCTAGCATAGCACTCTTGTCTGGCTACCACCCTTCCAACAAAGCGCTCTTGTCTGGCTACCATCCTTCCATCATAGTGCTCTTGTCTGGCTACAACCCTTCTAGCATAGCACTCTTGTCTGGCTACCACCCTTCCAACAAAGCGCTCTTGTCTGGCTACCATCCTTCCATCATAGTGCTCTTGTCTGGTCACAATCCTTCCAGCATAGTGCTCTTGTCTGGCCACAATCCTTCCAGCATAGTGCTCTTGTCTGGCCACAATCCTTCCAGCATAGTGCTCTTGTCTGGCCACAATCCTTCCACCATAGTGCTCTTGTCTGGCCACAATCCTTCCAGCATAGTGCTCTTGTCTGGTCACAATCCTTCCTGCATAGTGCTCTTGTCTGGTCACAATCCTTCCTGCATATTGCTCTTGTCTGGTCACAATCCTTCTTGCATAGTGCTCTTGTCTGGTCACAATCCTTCCTGCATAGTGCTCTTGTCTGGTCACAATCCTTCCAGCATAGTGCTCTTGTCTGGACACAATCCTTTCTGCAAAGTGCTCTTGTCTGGTCACAATCCTTCCAGCATAGTGCTCTTGTCTGGTCACAATCCTTGTTGCATAGTGCTCTTGTCTGGTCACAATCCTTGTTGCATAGTGCTCTTGTCTGGTCACAATCCTTCCTGCATAGTGCTCTTGTCTGGTCACAATCCTTCCAGCATAGTGCTCTTGTCTGGTCACAAACCTTCCAGCATAGTGCACTTGTCTGGCTACCACCCTTCTAGAATAGCGCTCTTGTCTGGCTACCACACTTCCAACATAGTGCTCTTGTCTGGCTACCATCCTCCCAGCATAGTGCTCTTGTCTGGTCACAAACCTTCCAGCATAGTGCTCTTGTCTGGCTACCATCCTTCCATTATAGTGCTCTTGTCTGGTCACAATCCTGCCAGAATAGTGCACTTGTCTGGCTACAACCCTTCCAACATAGCGCTCTTGTCTGGCTACCATCCTTCCATCATAGTGCTCTTGTCTGGCTACCACCCTTCCAGCATAGTGCTCTTGTCTGGCTACCACCCTTCTAGCATAGCACTCTTGTCTGGCTACCACCCTTCCAACATAGCGCTCTTGTCTGGCTACCATCCTTCCATCATAGTGCTCTTGTCTGGCCACAATCCTTCCAACATAGTGCTCTTGTCTGGTCACTATCCTGCCAGCATAGTGCTCTTGTCTGGCTACAACCCTTCCAACATAGCGCTCTTGTCTGGCTACCATCCTTCCATTATAGTGCTCTTGTCTGGCTACCACCCTTCCAGCATAGTGCTCTTGTCTGGCTACAACCCTTCTAGCATAGCACTCTTGTCTGGCTACCAACCTTCCAACAAAGCGCTCTTGTCTGGCTACCATCCTTCCATCATAGTGCTCTTGTCTGGCTACAATTCTTCCAGCATAGTGCTCTTGTCTGGCTACCACCCTTCCAGCATAGTGATCTTGTCTGGTCACAACCCTTCCAGCATAGTGATCTTGTCTGGTCACAACCCTTCCAGCATAGTGCTCTTGTCAGGCCACAATTCTTTCAGCATAGTGCTCTTGTCTGGTCACAACCCTTCCATCATAGTGCTCTTGTCAGGCCACAATTCTTTCAGCATAGTGCTCTTGTCTGGTCACAACCCTTCCAGCATAACGCTCTTGTCTGGTCACAACCCTTCCAGCATAACGCTCTTGTCAGGCCACAACCCTTTCAGCATAGTGCTCTTGTCTGGTCACAATCCATCCAGCATCGCGCTCTTCTCTGGCCACAATCCATCCAGCATAGTGCTCTTGTCTGGTCACAATCCTTCCAGCATAGTGCTCTTGTCTGGTCACAATCCTTCCAGCATAGCGCTCTTGTCTGGTCACAACCCTTCCAGCATAGTGCTCTTGTCTGGTCACAATCCTTCCAGCATAGTGCTCTTGTCTGGATACAATCCTGCCAGCATAGTGCTCTTGTCTGGTCACAACACTTCCAGCATAGTGCTCTTGTCTGTTCACAACCCCTCCAGCATAGTGCTCTTGTCTGGTCACAACCCATCCAGCATAGTGCTCTTGTCTGGTCAGAACCCTTCCAGCATAGTGCTCTTCTCTGGTCACAACCCTTCCAGCATAGTGCTCTTGTCTGGTCACAACCCTTCCAGCATAGTGCTCTTGTTTGGTCACAACCCTTCCAGCATAGCGCTCTTGTCTGGTCATAACCCTTCCTGCATAGTGCTCTTGTCTGGTCACAACCCTTCCTGCATAGCGCTCTTGTTTGGTCACAACCCTTCCAGCATAGTGCTCTTGTCTGGTCACAACCCTTATTGCATAGCACTCTTGTCTGGTCACAACCCTTCCAGCATAGCGCTCTTGTCTGGTCACAACCCTTCCAGCATAGCGCTCTTGTCTGGTCACAACCCTGCCAGCATAGCGCTCTTGTCTGGTCACAACCCTTCCAGCATAGCGCTCTTGTCTGGTCACAACCCTTCCAGCATAACGCTCTTGTCTGGTCACAATCCTTCCAGCATAGTGCTCTTGTCTGGTCACAATCCTTCCAGCATAACGCTCTTGTCTGGTCACAACCCTGCCAGCTATTTGCTTCATTTTAATCACTTGTTACTGTAGTATGCACCTGATGAGATACAGCGAAATATGCCAGGCAATAAATTGTGCAGTCTATTGTTTGTGTCTTCTTTGTTCCAATTCACATCGGGGAAACATTGCTTTGATATATAAAGTGCTCAAAAAGTTATGTTTTTTTTTTTTTTGGGGGGGGGGGGGGGGGGGGGGGGGGGGGGGGGGGGGGCATGTTTTTGTCAATTTTTGTTGCATGTTTATTGTGCGGTTTTGTTGCAACTGTTCAATAAATTCGATCGAACAGATACAATCGTCGTATTTCAGAGTGCAGTAAAGGCCGGTATGGAGAGAACTGCTCTAAGATCTGTCCTAGTACATGTCTTGATCGGCTATGTGATAATGTCACCGATGATTGCGTGTCCTGTATTGATCACTGGACGGGACCAAAATGTGACGGTAATGTATGAGAGGAAAATAAAAACTGTCACTGCTCTTTCTGTTACCACTTTAAAGGGCGGTGTAGACAGCGGGTCGTGAGCCTGGGGGTTTAGGGCCGGGGGGCTAGTGCTCTACCCACAGACTATGCCGGTTAGGATGTTTAGTTTTGCCCTAGACGGAAAAACGTGTATCACCTCAGACGGTGTCTCCCGCACTAGAGTACCACATTGTGACCGCTGCTGAAATGTCAAAGTAGGTTCTTCTAACTCAGTCTCAATGCTTAGCAATTGTTTATGTTGTCATCTAACTCTGAATGAATGACAGTCAAGCTCATGGGGATCTGTAGAAACGTATTGAACATTAATGAGATGTAAAAACCTGGTGTGCCTGCCCTGGCATGTGGCTGTGAGTCATGGAACAAGACATCCGCTCACACAAGACAGCTTCTGCCTCAGAAATGAGGTATCTGAGAAATGTAGTTCCAGAGTCAAGAAGGGACAAAGTTTGCTGCTAAATAATAGGCCATGGTCTTGAAACCCAGCTCTTACTAACTGGAATGGACCAATCATAGTTATGATGGTTCAGTCATGTATGAAGAAAGGGAGAACAATCAGCCACCATTGCAGGCGTGAGGTTGGCAAGAACCAGGGAACCAGACCACCAGGGCGCGCCATGGTTCGCTGGAAAAACAGCATCTTATAGTCCCTGGTGGACAGAGGACTAGAAATGAACTAAGCAACAGACAACGCTTTTACAGAAGTCTGGAGATATTTCTGACAAATCTCTACACCACGAGGTAGGAGTAGTTCGACAACATGAAGTAAAAATAAAAATATGCATTTTGTATATTACAGAATATTTGATGTTAAGACCAAAAGGCCATCAGTAAATCCACCAGATTTGGCAGGAAAATGGAAGGAATTTGTAAGTGAATGCTTGGCTACACCGTGGGAGACCACCAGAACAGAACAAACCAGTAAAGCCGCAATGCTAGGACCAGTTATACTGATTAATGACATTGATACTGCCATTAAACAGTCACTCAAATGTAACGCACAAGGAGCTGACAAATTACAAACACAAATAATTGTAGCAGCAGGTACAAACAACGATGTAAAACAAATAATATTAAAATCAACGCCGAGGTAGGAGAAAAGTAATATGAATGTGTCGGCGTCTGTGGGTTAGACGTTGAGAAAACGCGGCTATCCTCCGAATAACTTTTTTGTGTCTGGTCAAAAAAAGGGAAAGAAAGATGGAGAAACTATTTAACAGCAGAGGGCAGCTGTGGTAGTCAGCACATAGAAACAGTAAAAAACAATTGCAGTCACACAGAAACAGCATAAAACTGTTGCAGTCAGCACACAGAAACAGCATAAAACACTTGTAGTCAGCACACAGAAACAGATTTAAAAAAAAGAAGAAAAGAAGAATAGTCAGCACACAGAAACAGCATAAAAAAATTTTTGTCAGCACACAGAAACAGCATAAAACACTTGCAGTCAGCACACAGAAACAGCATAAAACAATTGCAGTCAGCACACAGAATCAGCATAAAACACTTGCAGTCAGCACACAGAATCAGCATAAAACAATTGTGGTAAGCACATAGAAACAGCTCACAATGAGCCTATTTGTTGACGTCCTATGCTCCCAGTGCCAGACATGGTCACTCACAACAAACCAGAAAAGAACATTGGTAACAATGGGAATAGTATACCTGAGAAGGGCTGCAGGAAGAGATAAACATCAGGAATGAGGTCGCGAGAGAAGAAAGTATATACATAACAAATTATACAATGCATTCATTTACAGGAAATACATGGTCTGCCCATTAAGATATAATGCTTCACTACAACATACCATACAAGGCATACAATAAAACAAAACAGAGAAGTGGAGCAGGAGGTATTCAAAGAACAAGATAGAAAGGAGAATCCGATTAATTTAACAACATCAGGATGTATCTGTGGTTTGGGGTCGGGGAGGGGTTCGGTGTGGGGGGGGGGGGAAAGGGGGGGTAGGCAATAAGAGAAAGAACCAAAACATTATAAATCCAGAAGTGGTAAAGGAGGCAAGTTATAGGAAGAAACTAGGAATCCTCAGTAATTAATACAAGCTAATGTGCTAATTTTGCAGGCAATGTGTGTTGTAGATTTCACAGAATCGCTACTAACCTCTAGGATATTGATGTTTGGACGTATCTTTGTGTTTCCTAGCGTTTATGTCTGATTATGTCTGTCTGTATTTCCTGCATATATGTCTGCCTATGTCTGTCTGTGTTTCCTTGCATGCATGTATGTCTGCCTATGTCTGTCTGTGTTTCCTTGCATGCATGTATGTCTGCCTATGTCTGTCTATGTGTGTTCTAGTCCTGTTCTGTGTTTCAGCGTGAGGCGTGAAGTGGCATCTGCTAATGCCAGCCTTGGTGTGTGTTGCGTAAATGCTTGTTTGTATTCATGGCCGCCCATATTCCATACATGCATTGAATGCTTGGGTCATCTCCAGCTCTGCAGTCATTGTGTCTAAGTATCCCAGCAGCCTGTGGTGTTTTGTCCAGTTGCAGTTGTGGTACCTATCTGGTCTATTGTCATCGTCTTCTTCACATCCATCGGTTGTAGACTCCGGCGGGAAGGTTCACAGACCTAGCTTATTAAAATGCAGATTGTAATACGTGTTTGGGGAAGCAATGAGTCTATTTTGTTTTCCCTAAAAATGGGGACCCAGAACTCATACAAGGAGTCCGAACCATTTGACCGGTTATCCTCTAGATGAAGCACTGAATTCGTCTCAACTGTGCTTTTCCCTGAAACTATCGTTTCTTATCCTGCTTTTTCATGTCACATGTAAGTTAGCAGTCGTAGCGACTTACAAGACATCTAGAACACACGCAGTTAAGAATTGAGATAGGATAGAAAGATCCGTACACCAGGCCCCTGAACCTTCAGACACTGTTCCTTGTCCTCAGTTCGCCTAGATCCTTCCAGGCTTGTATGGGCTCTAAAGTCACCCCAGACTCGCAGAACTCAACTGTAGTTCGAGGTTTATGACAGAGAGACTGGTCATTATCACTTGTGATGGACGAAAAACAACCATAAGATTAGCAGTAACCATTTCATTTTTATTCTATTTTTTATTGTGTTTAGTATTCACGTTTGGTACAGGTAAATTAATGCTAGTGAAATTATAAATGGAACAGTGTTGTCTTGGGGTGAAATGTTGCAAGTTGTTGCTGCAGTTTTTTTTTTTTTCTTTTGGTGTTGGGGTGGGGGAGGGAGAGATAGTTGGCGCTAGTCATTCTTCTGTGATCTCTATATAATGTCAAGTAATGTCCAACCATTGTCTAGTGATTTATGCCTATTGTCCAGTGATCTCTACTTACTGTCCAGTGATGCCTACCTATTTTCCTGTAAAGTCTACATATTGTCCAGTGATGCCTACACATTGTCCAGTGATGTCTACGTGTTGTCAAGTAATTCTACCAATTCTCCAGTGATGCCTACTTATTGTCCATTAATCTATACCTACTATCCAGTGATGTCTACCAATTCTCCATTGATGCCTACACATTGTCCAGTAATGTCCGTCTATTGTACAGTGATGTCTTCATGTTGTCTAGTGATGCCTACACATTGTACAGTGATGTCTACATGTTGTCTAGTGATGCCTACACATTGTACAGTGATGTCTACATGTTGTCTAGTGATGCCTACACATTGTCCAGTGATGTCTACATGTTGTCTAGTGATGCCTACCTATTGTCCAGGGATGCCTACACATTGTCCAGTGATGTCTACAGGTTGTCTAGTGATGCCTACACATTGTACAGTGATGTCTACATGTTGTCTAGTGATGCCTACCTATTGTCCATGGATGTCTACACATTGTCCAGTGATGTCTACCTGTTGCACAATGATATTTGCCTCCGACTTACATGTGTCTTGTTGTAGCTTGCAGTAAAGGCTGGTTTGGAATAGACTGCACTGAGGCTTGTCCCCTACAATGTCTTGACCAATTGTGCAACAGCACCACAGGCGATTGCGTCTTGTGTAGTGAGAACCGGGCAGGCAACAAGTGTGACGGTAATGTATATTGTTCTCAGCAAGTATTAGCAGTACTATTGTTAGAATGCAGCAACAAATATCAAATAACATCGTTTACTCTCTATGTCAGAAGACCAACGTAAAGAGGACGGTCGCAAACAATGGATCGACAACATTAAAGATACTTTACGCCTTCACGGTATGATTATAGACAAGTCAGCAGCCGTTCACTGAATCGAAAATGTTTGCTTCCCACGAAGCTTTAAAAAGTTTTTTTTTTTTGGTGTGATCATGATGATAAGTTTGAACACAGGATAGCCTCCTTGTTATCAGTGAGATCTGGAGGAGTGACAGTCACTTTAAGGGTGCTCTACAGAATTGTGTTGACTCTGTGTTTAGTTGTCGTCATCCTCCTGTACCGCGTCTGCAGCCATTGTGTTTCAGGCTTTGTCATCTCACGCGATCACCAGAATCATTGATCGCGCAATTGTTCTTTCTAGTACCTTCCATATGGCTAATCCGTGCATTTGGAATTGTTTTCGACTGTGACCAACGTGGTGGTGTGAGTTGTAGATTCAGACAATGGCGCAATGCCGGTTGTCGCAAGTGCCGTTGTCGCAATGTGATTAAGATTGACTGCGAGTGCAACTGCTGATCTGTTGGTGACTCCTGCTAGTCTAAAGTTGGACTCTTTGTGTTAGCACTTCAGATGGCTACCGTATGCTATTAATGCGTGTGTATGCTTGTGCACATGCTGAGACAGCAGTCTGTCAATCTTTCCACAAAAGACTGTGATAAACATGATGTGTGTTTTTTGTTGGCATAGGAGCGGAGCTACTATCG